TTCACATGCTGTCTGGGCTGCGAGCTCGCTTTGTGCCTCAGAGTCGAGTAGTTGCAGCAGAGATGCTGTGGCCCACAAGGCCTAAAATATTTACTCTCTGGCCCTTTATCGACTGAGCTTGCCAACTCCTGTCATAGGAAGAAAGGGGAAGAGTTAATGGACAAGGGAGGGCAGTGGGGTCGCTGGGCAGCACGGAGGGTCCTCATTGTCATTTGTTCAAAGAGAGGCCACTGGCTTGAGGGGTAATTGTTTAGACTAGGAGCTGAGTATTTGGAGGTCACTGAACTCTTCTCTTTACTTTTACATATTTTTGAGAGCCTCCATCACGAAGAGTTACAGCAAGGCCAGGCGGCATGGCTGCGTTTTCCTGCTGCGTTGAGCAGTTCAAGAACAGGCATGGAGGAAGCAGGGAGTTGGTTTTATCAGGGAATTCCAACAATGCCAGAGAAAGGTGGGGGACGAGGAAGTGTATGCAGGAGAGTAGTTGAATGATCAGTGATGGACGCTAAGCTGCTTAACAGAAGGCAGGACATCAGAGGGACGAGTGATCGTGGTCAATGGTAGTGGGGCCAGTGGCTCACAGGCCTCAACGGGCTTGGCTTCCCTGGGAGCCGAGGTGCTAGAGATGGGACAGAGGGGCTTGGGCCAGAGGTTCTGGAAAGGATCTGGCGCTTGGTAACGTGAGGTCTGGGATGTAGCCATAGGTGTGGATGGTTGAGATGGGACAGGATCATTGGAGGATAGCGAGGGGGAATTTAGAGGCATGATACAGAAAGGATCATCTAAGTAGACACGTGAGTCACCACGGAGTATGACAGAAGTACAGCTGGGGAGACAGAGCGGGGCCAAGCCCCCACCTTCACCAGTCCGAGGAGCGTGGAGGAGCAGTGCCCCCACTTGGGCGGGCTCCGGGTTCCCGTTGAGGGAGAAGGTAGGCATTCCCGGAAGCCGGTGGTCACGTGGGGGTTTGCTGATGGCAGACCCCCTGGGAGCAGTGGGAGGGTTTCGGGAATGGGAGAGTGTTGGAAGAGTGTGCTCAGAGCTGTGGGGGTGACAGGAATCTGTGTTGTGGGCTTCTTGTGACGATGACAACTGACAAACAGGGACAGAAGGCATGGGGATGGGTTCCGGTGGCCAGCTACCCAGACGGGATGATGGTGAGGCCGAGTGCTGGGCAGAGGCTGGGCGAGGGGTGGTCTCACCAGGACTGCATGAGACCCCTTGGCCCTTGTGTCTTCCTGGCTCCCACCTGCATTTCTCTGACCCTCCCACAGCAGAGCTCTTTGGCAGTTGTATTGCTGTAGCCACTTCCTTTCTTCTCTGCGACCCCCCCGCCAGGCGTTTGCCCGCATCGCTCCACTGAGGCAGCTGTTACCGAGCCCACCGGTGACCGCTGGGGCCGTGTCCAGAGGCCATGTCTCAGTCCTGACCCTGCCGGGCTCTCGGCAGTATGTGAAACACTCACCTAATTTCAGATGCTGTGAAAACACACCATTTCATGTGCTACCAGGAGAGAGAAAACTGGGACTTTGCAGCCTTCTCTGAAGGAAAGCCTGAGTCTTTACCGTGGTCTTCCAGGCCCCCACGGCATCTGGTCAGGTCGCCTCTCTGACCTTGCCTGCTGCCACTTCCCTTACTCCCACTGAGCCTGGGTCCCCGGGCCGGCACCTCCGTGCCTGTGCCCCCGCTCTCCCCTGCTCAGTGCGCTCCTTCTGGCCTGTGCTCAAGTGCCCCGCGTCAGAGAGGCCTTCCTGCTGCCCTGGGCCTGTCCCCCTTTCTCTGCCCTGCTTTACCACCACGTCTGTCACCGTCTGCCTGTTACGTATTTGTACGTTACCTGTCCCCTCCTCTAGAGTTTTAATAAACCCTATGAGGCCTGGGTTTTCCTTCTTTCTTTCTTTCTAACTTCCGTATCTCTAGCACTCAGAATGCCACCTGCTTAGGGGCTCAGCAGCGTTGAGAACTGATGTTGTGTAACTCTCGCTCCACCTTTCCATAGCGCACAGGCGACACCAAGCCCAACTTCTTCCAGGACTGCCTGATGGAGGTTTTCGACAACCTGGAGCAGCACATCCAGAACCCGCTGGTGCTGCAGTCGATCCTCAGCCTGATGGACAGGGGCACCATGGTGCTGACCACCAACTACGACAACCTGCTGGAGATCTTCGGCCAGCAGCAGAACAAGCCCATGGAGTCTCTGGACTTGAAGGATAAGACTAAGGTGCGGGCCGGGGCGCGGGGTGGGCGGCGGGTGTGAGGAAAAGGCTTTGCGTGTTGGCCCCGTGGGGGTGAGAAGCAGCTTTCACTTCTACAGTCATGAATTAATAATCATGGAAGCTCATGAACTGGCAGCTCACGGGCGCTGCGCCCCACAGGAAGACAAGACGCCGTCTACAAGGCTGCGCCCGCCCTTCCTCGGGTGTGTGCTGCGCTGCTCAAGGCTCTGCTTACCGCCTGCTCCCGCTACTTCCTGCGTTCCGTCCTGTAGGGCTGCGAGCGTTTCTCATCCGCGTTTATTCTTTTCAGTCATTGTAGGAAATACAGGCGATAAAGAAAATAATAAAAGCAAAATCACCCATAGTCCTATTGCTATGAATTTTTTCTTAAACAAATTGGGATTGTAATATATGCAAAGATTTTAATCCTAATTTTTTCCTTATTATTATGTACTGTGAGCATTTTCTTGTCATTAAGCTGTTTTTGAAAGTGTGATTTTAAATGGCAATAGGATTATAATAAATTATAATTGTTACCCTTCCTCTGTTATTGTTAACGTATTTTTGCAGTTATAAATAATGCTGCAATGAAAATCTTTATACTTTTCTATCCCTGTTTATTCTTCAGGATCAATTCGTAGAAGAGTTTCAGGGTCAAAGGGTGTGGATATTTTAAAGACTGACGGTGGCCAGGCAGGAGGACTCCTTGAGTGCAGGAGTTCGAGGCTGCAGTGAGCTATGGTCATGCCATTGCCTCCGGCCTGGGTGAGACCTTGGGTTTGATAGACAGGCCGGATGTGGTGGCTCAGCCTGTAATCCTACCACTCTGGGAGGCCGAGGCAGGAGGATCGCTTGAGGTCAGGAGTTTGAGACCAGCTTGAGCAAGAGGAGACCCCGTCTCTATCTACTAAAAATAGAAAAATTAGCCAGGCATGGCGGCGCATGCCTGTAGTCCCAGCTACTCAGGAGGCTGAGGCAGGAGGATCACCTGAGCCCAGGAGTTTGAGGTTGCTGTGAGCTAGGCTGATGCCACGGCACTCTAGCCCAGGCATCAGAGTGAGACACTGTCTAAAAAAGAAGAAAGAAAAAGAAAACACTTTTTCCCAGATAGGTTTTTTCTGAGTATAAAAATAATACATAAAAAGCAGTAAGTAAAAAAATAACATATAACTTAGAAGTGAAAGTCCCCACCACCCCTCTAAAATAATAACTCTTAACAGTTTGCTGTAATCTCAGAGGTTGAGGATGGTTTCTACATAACTGTCTTTAAGGAAGTTCTTTATTATATAATATGACAGCAATAACTAGTGCTAACAGCTGACTTTCTTTTATTTTTTTTCTTTAAAGTTGTTATATGCAATTTCTTATTAACATTTAGAAATGTCACTAAGTTCTTAGCACTAATCACAGTGAAGCTTTGATAATTAGCTATGTCTTAAGAAAATGGTTCCCGTCATTAAAATTTGTTATAGCCATTTTCAGGAACCTTAATGACTTCAGTGTCCTTAGGGCTTATAAGATGGCTTTAACTATGGCCAGCTTTTAAGATCTCTGCAGTAACACATTCAGGCAAGCAGATCTGTTGGCTGGCTTCCCTTATGGATTAAAGGTATAATTACAAATTGAAACATCTCTTTTTCTCCAAGGTAAGTTTGAAAAACTATGACTCTGATTTGAATATTTTCTTTTATCTGTTTGAAATAACAGGTTTTTTTTCTTTGACTTGGCTTGATTTTTGACAGGTCCTTCAATGGGCAAGAGGACACATCAAATACGGAGTTCTTCATATTCATGGATTATACACAGACCCCTGTGGGATGGTGTTGGATCCATCAGGATATAAAGATGTCACTCAGGACCCGGAAGTAATGGTACGGTCCGTCCCAATTGGGCATTGGCTGCATCCTCTGAGGAACGTGTGGTGGCCACTGGCCGTTTGGCTGCAGTCTGGGTGGTTTCCCGGCTCCAGACATTCCTGTCGTCTGGGTTGGCTCTCCACACGCCGCCGAGGGATGGGGCATGTCCTCTGTGTTCCCAGTGTCTCTAGAGCCTGGCATAGCGCCTGTGTACTGAGTAGGTGCTCAGTGAACGTTTGTTGGAGGAAGGCCGTGATTCTTTTCTTTTTTTTTTGGGGCAAGGTCCCGCTCTGTTGCCCAGGCTGGAGTGCAGTGGCGTCATCATGGCCCACTGCAGCCTCCAACTCCTGGGCTCAAGCCATCCTCCTGCCTCGGCTGCACAACCACTAGCATTACAGGCGTGAGCCATCGTGCTTGGCCTTGTGATTCCTTCAAAAGCATAGATCTGATCCTACCCTCTCTGTGCCAGCCCCAGACATTCAGTGTTTCTCTGTAGCCCAGGGATACAGCAAGACTCTTCAGCATGACATTGTAGGGCCTTGTGCAGTCTAGAATGTTCTCCTCACCAATTCTCTGTCTTCATCCATGCATTCTTCCTGTCTGAAATTCTCTCTTCTCTTTAGTTTTAAAACTTCATTTTCTGTGAGTCTTTCTTGGTGCCCTAGACAGAAAGTGTGGAAAAGCTGTGCTTGCCAGCACTTTCCAAATGTTTCTGTTAGTGCTCCTAGAAACTCAGTGTCTCTGCGGATTCACTTGTGAGCTCGGGGTCAGGTGCTCTGGGCCTGTGTAACGCTGGGGCGGGATGTCAGCAGGACGAGTGAGTGGGCAGATACTTTTCAGTTGCACAGTTGGTTATAAGAAGTACCTAGGCTGTTACTGACCCTCTCTAAGATGCTGGATATCTGAACTGGTGCCTCTCTACTGCGCGCCTGAGGGACCCCACACGGTCTTTGCTTTCCCTGTGCCCGCCTTCTTGGTCACTGTTACTGGTCCCCTCCCCAGCTCTCCTGCCCTCATTCCCAACAACCCTATTCTCCTGCCCCTCCACCCCGGAACAGTCCCCATATGTGATACATTGAGACAGACATTAATTTCATGTGCGTGATTCTGAACTGGACAAATGCTAATGTCCTTATTTTATCAATATGTTTTAGTAATTTAAAACTGAACATAATTGTAGAAGATTTGAGCCGGGTGGGCCATACACTGTCCTTACCGCAAGGTGTGCTCACCTGGTCACTGACTTCGGGCACAGGCCAGTTGTCCTGGCTGAGGTAGGGAGAGGCACCCTGTCCTTGCTGAGAGGTGGACTCAGCCCAGCTTTGGCCTTTGTTGCCACAGATCCCTGCTTTGGGGTGACCTGAGTGCCACGTGGAGAGTGTATACTGTTCTCACTGTGTCCCCACTGTGGCCCCTGGGAAGGCCTGTTGGGGAACAGTGACGTAGTAGCACACACATGTGACTTGATGGCTAGTCACGAGCTCTTGCTGTCTCTCCAGCAAGCGTCCTGATTTCCTCATTGGCTTTCCCTCAGGAAGTGCTCCAGAACTTGTACCGCACCAAGTCCTTCCTGTTTGTGGGCTGTGGAGAGACCCTTCGTGATCAGATATTCCAGGCTCTCTTCCTTTACTCGGTGCCGAATAAGGTGGATTTAGAGCACTACATGGTTGTGCTCAAGGAAAACGAAGACCACTTCTTTAAGCATCAAGCGGATATGCTTTTACATGGAATCAAAGTCGTGTCCTATGGGGACTGTTTCGACTGTTTTCCAGGATATGTACAAGACCTCGCCACTCAGATCTGCAAACAGCCAAGTCCAGGTACTGCGCTGCTCAAGTACAAAGTACAAAACTCACAGGCTGCTTCTGGTGGTTTTCCTTTTTTATTTTTGATGCTATAATTCATATACCATAAAATTCACCAACCTTCCAGTTACTTTAAAAAAAATGCCTCTGGGTAATTTAAAATTAGAAGATTGGGATGGTTGGTGTGATAGTGACAGTCTGTACATAAAGTAACTTTTAAAGTTTACAGCTGTGCACACGTTAGACACATTCATTCACGTTTGGGGATACCTTGACCGAGAAAGAACACTACCAGGCCGGCTTTATCAGTTGTGACATTTAACACCTGAAAGATGCAGATATCTTATAGCTTTATCCTGGCTCAACAGTTTGGAAGTTGAAACTTCAGAAGCACAAATGGTTTTTATGAAGACATTTCTTTTCTCAAGTAACCTATTTCCCCTGTTCTGCTGAGTGCAGCACTCTTCAGTAACACTCCTCGGCCCTTCTTTTGGGAATTGTTCCTCTGTCAGGAAGGACCGGGATAATGGAGAAATCCCTAAACCTGGTCCTCTCCACATCGGGGAGGGCGTGGCTTTGCGGTCGGTATCACGAAACGCTGGCGAAAGCGAGCTTGGAGAGGTGCGTGCTGGCTCTTGTACAGTGGGAACAGGAAGCGCGGGCACACTCCCCACGCAGTGGAATAGGTTCGCCACAGAGGTGGTGGTTGTGACCAGTCGTGAACTGGGAGACTAGAGAATGCACAGGTAATCCAACAGCTAAGTTGTTGCTTTTTAACCACTAGCACTTTCTTTTCAGAATTGCTAATAATTAGTAAAATGGGCCAGTTTAAGTTGCATTTCCACGAATAAAAACATAATTAGGGCAGTAGTCAGTTTCTTACTAAGGGCAGAAAGGAACATATGCTTGCCAAGCTATTAGGTGTCACATGCTGCTACAAATTTTACATTCTTGACTTTATTTGATTTTTTAATAGCAGTGTCCGCCACTACTAACTAGGTGATTTTATGGATGATGAGATAAGCTCACAGAGATGAATAACTTGCCCAGTTATTGCTCAGACATTTGGAGCGGGCATCAGGATGCTTGCCTGACAGCAGAGCCAACGCGGCACTCGGTGCGTCCTGGTACCAGCTCCAGTGCGCGGCTCTGCTGGGAGGCCGTGGGCGCTCGTCCCTGCCCCGCGCACCGCTCCTTCCTCCACACCCACGACTCCCCGGAAGACCGGGCTGACGTAAACCCTGGGCGTGCTCAGACTCCTGGAGTCTGCTGCTGGGCGGCTTCCTGTCCCTGCTGAGGCCCCTCTTCCAGGCCTGGGCAGCTAAGTGGGTTCGACGAGCTGCCAGAGGGCTGAAAGATCATTCAGATTTTAACCTGTCTGTGTCATGAAGGACATTTGTCCTCGGATTCAGGGAGTACCTCTCCTGATGGGAGAGGAGGCCCACTGACGCCAGCAGTATCAGCCATCGCTCCCTGGGTGCCAGCCGGCTCCAGGTGCTTCGCGCAGTTGTCCAGTGAGTCCTCACATCTGCCAGCCCTGGGAGGTGGACGAGGAGGGCAGGGAGTCGCCCGCGGTGGGCTGGAGCTGGCCGCCTCAGAGCGGCCTGAGGAGGAAGAGCGCTGAGGTCTCAGTGCTGCTGACTGCTTTTCTTTCTTCCTCAGATGCCGATCGAGTGGACAGCACCACGTTATTGGGTAAAGCAGATCTTTATTTTTGCCTACACACTCCACTACATTCCAGGCACTAGTTGTAAAGTCATAAAAGTATGTTTCTCACATTAAAGAATTGGCCTGTAGCTAAACAGCCACTGAGGATGTTGACAGCCACGCCTTTGGTGCAGTCCCTGCCGCAATGAAGGGACCGAAAATCAGCCTTCGACCGGGAAGCACAGCTTCTCAAACGTGGGCCACCTGGCACCCGAGAATAACGTCCCGTCCTAGAACCCAGAGTTACAGGGGAATCGGAACAAAGTTCTATTTGTGTTATACCATTTGGGGCAAGATGTAGGAACTTAGAATGACCCATCCCTTCTGAAATTTTAATTATAAGGATTTGACCTTTCATACAGAATTTTCTGTTTAAAACTCATTTGAAATGTGAATGGTCTTCTTGTTGGGCTCAGTTCTGCCTGTTTATAAATTAACAGGACTCAGCTTCCTCCATTTGTGAATTGGGCCCCAGCTGCCTCCACTTGCTCGGTCAGCAGGGTAAGAGGGGTTCTGGTCAGTGGGCAGAGGCCTCGCGTGCAGCCCTGTTGGGCCCGGCCTGTCCATGGATAGGAAAACGCACATGGTGCGGGGACTGCTGGCCTCACTTCCGGTCGGTGGTGGATGAGGTTCAGTGCGGGAATCATAAAATCGCTGGTCTCAGCTTTCCATTTGCACCGTTTCCACGTGAGAGGACATGTTTATTACGGTTGTGTTACACTTAAACGTGACTCCCAGAACCATCGTTTCCTTTTGAAAGAGGCATTAACTCGATCGATACAATCTGTAGTGTGTGGCAGGGATTACTTGGCCAGTGGCTTCAGTAGGATCAAGGACCTCCTGGTCTTTGGAGGGTGGATTCTAGCATGAATAAGCTTTTTACTAAGTTTTCATCTTTCAGGTAATGCATGTCAGGACTGTGCAAAGAGGAAGTTAGAAGAGAATGGAATTGAAGTTTCAAAAAAACTCAGACAATCAGGTATGGGAGTTGAGTTCTTTCTCTTTGTGGGGAGCTGTCTCCAGTTTGCAGTCGCGGTTACGGGGCTGTGCTCTGAGGCCCGGCAGGGCGAAGGAGGCGCACGTTGAGTCAGAGTCAGAGAGGCTTGGAATGGATCCTGGCCTCTCGCTTCCAACTGCCCAGAGGCACTCCCTTTTCAAAGTTTCTGTTGATTTAAGTAAGCATGTTACTGAAGAGAAATGCACCGAGAAAGTGTACAGATAGGAGGCCAGCTCAGTGGATTTTCACAAAGTGAAAACATCCATCTCATCACACCCAGTTCAGGAAAGAGAACATTGTCGGGAGTCCCCTTGCCACTTCCCCGTCATTCCCCCGGCACCCAGAGGTGACCACTAGCCTGATTTATGCCACCTTAGTCTCTAGAGAAAACCACTGTAAGTCATTTGGGTTTTTTTTTTCACTACCTCTGTCACTAAGATTTATTTAAACTATTGAAATATTTCTTTAAACTACTTAAATAGGCTACTTCCGTTGACACTAGGAAAGGTGACCTAGCTCACTCATGCCGGCCTTTCTCCTTTCCTTCTCCTCCTCCTCCCAGGTTTTGGTAGCACTGTGTATTGTTTCTCAGTCTTCACGTTAAATACGGTACTGAGACCTGCCTCCCAACATGCAGACTGGGCTGTGACGGCCCCTCCTCACCCACTCACCGAGCCTGCCGGCTTCGTGTTGTCAGTGCCAGTCACCGCGGTCACTGGACAGAAAGGAAAGGAGACCTCCGGTCTGTCAATATGTTGATTCTAAAAGTTGGAAAACAAAAGCATTTACTTGATTCAAACAGCGTCAGTATTCTTTCCTGGTTAGCCAACTTGCGTGTGAGGTTAACGGGCCCGCCACCGTGACTCCTGGCCAGTTGCAGGGCGTGTTCTCAATGTGAAGGTCAAGTGTGGATTTTTCCTTACATTCCATTCTTCATATTGAGACCTTAAGACATTTGTGTTGCTGTTTATTTTTTGAGGAGGTTCTGGATTCCCCTTTGCCCCTTGTTGTCTGTTATTTTATGACTTTGATAGATAGCTTTTCAAATCTCTGGAGACACCGGAGGCCTCCTTGGTCACCTGACTCTACTCCATTCCTGAAAATGTTAGGATAGAAGATTTTCACATAACAAGAGTTTATATTTTATTACTTTATATAAGAAAACATCAGTAAAACACTCTTAAAAAACCATATGGTAAGCCACC